CCACACAGTCATGTGTTTTGATGGGGTCAAGCTTCTTCAAACACACCTCACACATGGGCCCCTTTTCTTGACTCGGTTTCGAATATGACTCACTCCTCCATTTTCTGGCCTCATAATTTCCAACTTTTACCAATTGACGATGCAGGAAATAACAAATTAGGTTTGGTTTGAACGGTTATCATTGAAATTTCTATGGTTCACTTCTCTTACGGGTTACGTAAAGTCACTGATATATATAATTTATATTTTAGGATAAAAAAATATCCACGTTAAAATCTGAACTTCCTTCAGGTCATTTTCTATTTTACTAGTTGTATTGTATCCATCCATTTTTTGCATAATTAATTTATGTATGTCAATCTTTTTAAAATGTTTTCAAATCTATGCCTACATGAATTATGAATTTGTTATAATGAAAATGATCCTTTAAAAGATCCCTAATAAAAGAAAATCGAGACCCTAAACGGCCCCGTATTGTATTCACCCCACCTCCAAAGACATCAACAAGCTTTGTATTTTGATGCCATACATACAATTTTTGGTATGTTTGTTTTGTTCATAATATTAGTCATAAGAAAATCATTTATAAAATTTAAAATCTTTCACCGACGGAGGAGGACCCAATTTGGTTATGATTGTATCTGCCGACTACCTTTGCTTTCAAAAGTAAGTCCTGAATGTCCTGAACAAGGGCAACAAAATCACATGGTATCCATATCATTGGTTTCGGCTCATCATTCCAAGACTTAATTGGAGTGGGCCTCTTCATCGGGTGTGTGAAAATAAACCCTCCCCCCCATTTCCTTTTGACTTTAATTATTGTGCAATCTTATACTCCCTCGAAAGGAGTTTGACTAAAAACGACCTATTCTCATAATTCTAGTTATTTTTTGTTAATTAAATACTAATAAATATATCATTTTTAAAATTATATCATTAATCTAATTCATTAATAATACATACAATTATATACCATCTAAATATCAAATATTCATAGTTATATTGTTATTATGCTTTAATCTCACTCCTGGTCTTCTAGGTCGGCTCCTTTTTCCCCGATTTGAAAGCGCTGAAGTTATCATTAATCCCACTTGTTAATCACGGAGGAATCGTGTTGAGGCTGTTTAATCAAAACAATAATGATGACCTAATCTCCTGCCTAACCCTAATCAAGATTTGGCCCTACATATTAATCAAACCAACCACCAAATCGGTTTACAGTTAAGTCTACATAATTCATCAAAAAACCTACTTAATTCATTATTTCACTCCCCTTTTTTTCTTCCTTTCAAGCATATCGATTAAATTAAAGGTGATTATCCGTTGAATCCCGTCGTATAAAAAATAGTAAAAAAATCAAAAAGCGATTTCAATTCTAAAATAAATTTTAAATGATTTAAGTTCAAATAATATTGTGTGTATAATGATTACCTCCTAAACCTTATTAAAATGTTAAAAAATAGGAAAAATATTTGTTTTTAAGATTCAATAGTATATTTATTATGTTAGAAAATATCTGTTTTTTTATTTTTTAAAAAAACTATTTTTATATTAATATTAATTTTATTATTTTACTATTTAAATATTTGGTGTTGTGGCAAAACACATTATATATTCAACAGATAACCAACGTTTAAACATGAAAACAATATTATTAGAATGACTAATTACATGGACAAAACCACCTTCTGGATGGGAGGGGGCAGCTGCCCCTAACATTGACTGACTAATAACATTTTAGGTCATTGAATATTTTGAAAATATTAAAATTAAGTTTTTGTACCCAAATTTATTGGTAGAATTACTTTTGAGATATTATCAATTTTAAAATTAATAGAATTAAGTATTGACCTAAAGTTTATGCGATTTAATTATTTTTTATGATATTCAAATGTTAAAATTAGTAAATTATACCATCAATCTCTTTTTTATGATTTAATTACTTTTTAAAGATATATTTATTTTAAAATTAAACAACTTGCCTCGTAGATTCAAATTATAGTGACGGTAGTGTTTTCGATTACGTTGCGTTTATTACGATTATCGCAATAGCGGATGCTATTGTGGGTATCGCGATTGCGTGATAACGATTTCAAATGACATTTTTACCTCTATATATTTGTCTCTATTCTGATAGCGGACCGATATTTAAATTCCTGTTTGCCCTCATAATTTAATTCTGGCTCCGTCCTTGAGTAATTATATCCTCAATATAAATAGTAAAATGAATAAAAAATAAAAAAATAAATATAACTAAATATTTAGTTTTTTTATGATAGAGAGGTAAAAATCATAAGTTAATCTAAATTTATATATTTTGTTATAGTTAAAGCAAAAGTTTACCCCGTTTTTAAAAAATATATAAAACTAAAATGAAAATAAAAATTTTATTAAGTAATAATTAAATTGAACTATACAAATCCAGTCAACTCAAATCGGGAGTCGGATGGTAACAAAACTTTAAACAAACCTGAACCAAACTAAAATAAATAAATCGATCTTGACAATGTCTTGTTTCTTTAATTTTGTTTAATGGGCTGATGTAAGCTTGATTGGTGCAGGCATGCAATCAAGGTTATCCATAAATGGAGGGAGGTTGTCATCTAATACAAAACAACACGTAGGTTGTTTTTAAAATATGCTTTGCTGTTTCATTAGAATCGGATATTGTCTGCGTTAAAAAAACAGCTTAGTTACTAACCGAGTTATTCAGGTGGTAATCAGTTTTATATCGCTTGAATAAAATATCATGTTCGAGTCATTGTGTATATAGAAAATCCTTATTGAAAGACTCACTTATAAAAATCAAATATGTGATCCGAATCGATATAAATTAATCAATATAAAATCTTAAATATAAAGCCTAACAAAAAAAAAGCTTAGTTGCTATCAAACCTTAATTAATGAAAAATAAAACAGAATTAAATAATGCACCATATCCAAGTCTAAAAGAAAAAAGTACCATGAACCGACAAATTAGCCAACACGAGACACATGTCTTTGGAGTTTATGTTTAAGTATAAAAAATACGTCGGCACACACGGTAAGGCAAAATCTTTTAATCATGTAAAAGTGGAGATTATTGATTAATTAATACTCCATCATTCTTAGTTTTTTATACCAACAGAAATAGATGAGAATCTTTTGTATTAAATTAGAGGAGATACGTCAATGTTCCCGCTCGAGGAGCTTTGCTCTTTCCTCCACTTGTTCTTATCACACGAAGACAAGAAAATACGATTTGAAAGAGACAAATGGAGTAGTAATAACAAAGTAAATAATGCTGGTCCAATTAAATAATTATTTTTTAGGTTTGAAGTTCAAAAAACAGGGTTGAAGAGTCCGCATAATGATGATGGCGATGGTAAAAATATTGGGTGACGAAAGTGATGATGAGAATGAGGGAGCCAAGACTCGTGCAGATTCCTGGAAAGTCACCCTATTTTCAAGGAAGCTGCTCTCACTGGTTAATCATTATTTGTTGGTCCATACCCTAATTTCACGCCATCAATTTGATATAAAATTACACAAAAATATATTATCGTGGCAAAGCCACCCTTTTAGAAAGGGTTGTTAGTTGACACTCCATTTTTAAAAAAATATATGTAATTTCATATAAAATATTATTTTAAAAGAATATTAATATCGTTTTAGAGATAATTAACACTATGATCTAAATTTTCGTATTCACCCCTAGGTATCAATATATTCACAAGCAAACTTCAGAGAATATTGTCATATTAATTTTGTTTTGATGCAATTTTAAAAGTTTATTTTCTCAGTACACTAAAAAAATGGATCATTGCTTTAGAACCCATCATTCATGTTACTTTTTGTACCGATATCTGGAGGGTGACCATAAGGCATACCTGAATTACTTGCAAAGGAAGTCCAATGACTCCTGGACCATCCACTTGGTGAAGTTGATGAAACCTAAGATAGGTTCCATTGTTGTAAAGTGGAATATAAAGCTTTTGGAATGATATGGAAATTCTAATCAACATAATCGAGGGAAAAGAAAAGAGCTTTCTGCCTCAAAATTTGCATATTATGTGTAGAGATAGAAACCATTGGGGGACATCACGTGGGATATGACCCACCGGTTCCCTTAAAGAGACAGCATCAGACTAGGCTTAAGCCTAGAGCCCTCCATTTCTCCTTTAACCCATTTTTTATATGTACGGAAATAGACACATAGTTTTATTTTAAAGAGTGAATTTTAATATATATAATTTTAATAATATACATAAATTTATAAAATTTTAAGAAAATAAAAACAGATTTTTAGTAAAAATATATAATCAAAAATTATAAAATATAAAACAATATTAAAATTTAAGGAAACGAGTACCCACTAACCCTTCTCTCTCCATTCCCTGGGTCTTAGATTTTGCAACTGAACCATCCATTCCTTTCTTAGTGTGGACGCCTCTCACCACCATCCATTTCTTTTTTTCTCTCTCTCTCATGTAAGAAACACAAAAACACGTGAGCTTCTCTTTTTCTCTCTCAATTAACCATAAGCTTCAACCCATTTTCTTCTTCATCCCAGACATCCTAAAAGGTCGACACCATCATACTTGGATGGATCACCCTTTCCCACTAAACACTTCCAATAATTACATTCTTATTTACATCCCTACCAAAAGATAAGATTATCGGATATTTGTTGTTTCATACCACCAATATTCCTTTTTTAAATAAATATTGGTCCTCCATTCTTAAATATTGTAATTAATAATACAAAGAACCAGTTCCCTGACATATGTGTAAGAAGAAGTTTCATGGGAAAGTGCATGGTTTATTTTCAACTAACATGTGCACCAAGAAGAAAGTCAATGTGAACACCATTATTTACTCGTATTTTTTTATTTAACTCTTCGGAACAGAATACAATGTCATAATTTAACACTTTGAATTCAATCAAATGTTGCTTGTATGTCCATATCGATAAAATCAGATCTTAACAATATAAAATTTAAAGGGGAAGTTGATGGAGAACAAGAAATCTATCATTAGATACGGAAGGAAAGAATTAATAATAATAAGAGTAATCGCTTCATAGATACTATATCTTCTTCTAATGATCATTTACAAACATATATATTTGAAAGAAAGAAAAAGATGAAAAGATTGATCAGTAATTATACAATTTTGTTTTCTACAAATTAGCTAACTTTTTTATTCACTACAAAGCCCTTTAACCAAAAAATGGGTTGTGGCAGGTAGTCTTCTTCCTATACCAAGTTCCAAAGAACTTGATCAACATGCTGCAGAAGGATTGGAGAAGGGATTGTAGAAATTAGGCTTCGAAGCCATCGAAAATGGGCTCTTGGAATTGACGTCGGCAACACCGCCTATTCTTTCACAAGAAGGGCAAATGGTGAGAGTAGCCGCCGGCATCTGCATGTAAAAAGGCTGAGCCGCCATTTTCAGTGCCTTGAGTTCTTGTAGTTCCTTTTGTAGTCTCCTGTTTTCATCTGTCAGTGTTTCACAACACTTCTTCAAGACCTCACAGTCCACCTCAGTTTGCTTGAGCTTTGTCCTGTACACACACACATACAAAATTAAAAACAAAGATTTTTTTTTCATGATTTGCTTGATGAATTAAAAAAGACAAACTTAATGGACGATGGATTTACCTTGCTCTCCTGTTCTGGAACCAAACTTCAACTTGTCTAGCCGTCATGTTCAATTGCTTTGCTAAAGCTTGCTTTTGCTTCTGTTTCAGCATAAAATAGAACCAAAGATTAGATATCGTGATTTAAATATAGAGAGAGGAAGGATTTGAGGAAAAAGATGAGAGAACTAACGGGGTTGAGAGTGCTATGCTGTTTGAAGCTTTCCTCGAGAAGAGCAGATTGTTCTTTAGTGAGCCTAAGTTTCTTTCTTGCATTAACACCGTCTTCATCTTCATCACTAACTCTAGATGAGTTCTTCTCTATCTCTACTTCCTCGCTGCTAAGCTCTCTTTCTCTCTTGACTCTGACACTAGAAAACGAAGAAACAGCGCTATAGGGAGAAGCTTGACGACGATACAAATCATCGGCTGTAGGCTCCTGATCATGGTGATGAAGAAGATAACCACCTTTATTGACGTCAATCTTTTTGGTCACTTGGTAAAACTGATCACCACAAAGCCCCAAGGTCAACGACGGTTCAAAACATGGCGGTGGCGCCGCCGTCGTGGGTGGCCGTTGTTGTTCAAACTTGAGACATGATGGCTTCTTAGTGGGAGTTTCAAGGGTGGAGGAGAAGCCTAACCCCAGAACAAGGCCAGTATTACATGCATCCCCATCAAGACCCATTAAGCTCAAGATCTTTTTGTTTTACCAATGGAGTTGGAGAGGGGTTTTTTGTGGCTTGGTTAAGAAATGTGAAAATAAAGAGAAAGACGAAGGGGAGGGGGATGTTTGAAATGGTATGAGGGTGCAAAAGGGGTCTTAAGAAGGGGAGTTGGGTGGGTAGGTGGGTGGGTGGGGTGGCTATGATTATTAATCAGAGGAATGAATTGTTGTGAGAAAAAACCATAACGTAAGCTCTTTCTTTCTTTCTTTCTCTTCCTCTCTATACAAAGGTTGACCATTTGAACCCCACTACATTTATCAAACATTATCTTAATAAACAAACAAGGCACTTTCCTATAGAGATATACCCACAATCCACATGGCTGCTGTTAACAGATCAGGGGAATGATTCGTCAGCACTTGGCCACTCCTTGCATTCATCTACCATCTTTAACTATTAATACTACCCCCTTTCTCTCTTTTATGTCTACTTGTTTCTTACGTTCACCATTTTCTTCTTATCTACTAGTTCAATGATAAAAAATAAATTTTAAAATTTTATGTCGTTATATATATATATATTGTTATACTTCTTTCTTCATAGGTTTAATTTTTAGATAAATATATTTTTTACGTTTATAACAAAATTTAGTGATAATTGTCAACAAGTATTAAATGTAACAGTATTATAGTAACATATGTTATATAGTTAAGAAAAACATTTAAATTCGTAATTTGAAATAATATTATTAGGATGAACAATCATCAACCTCAAACATAAATTAAATAATTCTTTGTATATATATCATAATTTTCTCTCTGTGTCTCTTTGCGATTTCCCGAAATAATACTCGATAATTAATGTACTGGGCCTATGTTATTGCACCCGTTTAAAGGTTACCTAAGCAATAATAGTATTAAATTGAGGAATTATTAAAGCCTGACTTAATTAATTGAAAATAATGGGGTAGAGAGGACATCATTGGATACTAACAAGTTCCCTTTACAACAGACCACATGAACTGTCTCCCACTCCATGTCTGGTTTAACTGGTTGGAGATGGGTACCATGTCACCCTTGCTTACCAAATATCTCTTTTCTTATTTCAAGAAGCTGGTGACCAGTTTTACTTTCCCCCTGCTTATAATTATGAGCATTGAGATTGGAAAAAGATATCCATTCTCTCTCTCATAATTCCAACTGGGCATATAAAAATACAATGATAATTTTTTTAAATTTTGATCATTTTCATTTTAACTATTATTTTTAAAATTTCATACTATCTAATTATTTAAATATATTCAATTAGGACACTAATAGTTAACAGTTACAAAATTATTGATATGACAATTAATAAAATTAATATAATTTTTATTTAGTTCTTATTATTTAAATAATCTATTAAATTGATCATTATTTTAAATTAATTTAATATATTTGACACTCCAATTATATGATGACACATGCCATGATATCATTAAAAGGTTTTTAATAATTTTATTTATATTTAATTTAAATATTTTTCCTCCAATCAGATGACATGTCACCATATTTTGTAGGATATAAATTGAAACAACATATTTTCCTGGGGGTGGGGGAGATTTGAACCTGAGCCTTCTTGGTTCATAACCAAGAGCTTCAATCACTACTCTAAGACAAGTTCTGGTATGATGCTTACATAAACTAATATTTATCTTATAATATAATGAAGGTCTGAAAAATGAAAATAGAAGTAACACTAAAACGACTTGATTCAAATAAATTAGTATTTTAAAATATATTATTTATATTCAACCCATCCCACCCAAAAAAATATATTGTTTATATTCACCCACCCCAATTTGATTCGAATAAGTTAATATTTTAAAACATTTAAAATAATATACTTATAGTTATTTCTTACATTTTAAATGGTTAAAACAATATTTTTGCCTTAAACTCGACCCGGTTTGAATATAAAAAAAAGGTAAACTAGTAATTTATACTTGTTTGGGTCGGGTCGGTGATTTCTTATCTTAAATCTGACTCCACCCTTATTCGAATATATTAATACTTTAAAATAGTTAAAATAATACATTTATAATTATTTATTATAATTTAAATAATACAAATAATATATTTTTTTCTTAAACTCAACCCTCGAATATAAATATAAAAGAATAAACTAATAATTTATAGCGGGTTGGATCGAGTAGTTTAGTGTTGCTTTTATTTTCATTATTCTCGCCTTTATTATATTTTAAGATAATTATTAGTTGATGTAACCATTATACCATAAACTTATCTTGAAACAGTGGCTGAGGTTGTTGTTTATGAACCATTAAGTCCCAGGTTCGAATTCCCAAGAAATTATGTTGTTCCAATTTATTTTCCTTCCATCGTATGGTAATTAATAAAAACCCTCCAATGATATCATAACATGTGTTATCATATAATTAGATGATTAAATATATTGAATTAATTTAAAATTATGACCATTTTGATATATTGTGTAAGTAATAAATACTAAATGTAAATTATGCCACTTTTATTAGCTGTCACATTAGCACTTCCTTTAACTGTTAATGACTAGTGACTTGATTGAATACATCTAAATAGTTGGATGGTCTGATTGATAATAATTCAAAAATTGTGGTCAAAATGAAAAATGGTTATAGTTGGATGGTCATTGGTATAGTTTACCCAAATTACAATGATAAAAATGATTAACATTATTTTATATAATATAAAACTTCTTCGGTTTTATATATATTTAAAATTATTAGATAAGTAAAAATACAAAAAATAAGATTTATTTTTTCATGTATTTTTTTAGTTTTATACATGTTTAAACGTGAGTAGAAATAAAAGATTGCGATTAACTAACTCATTTTTCAGTGAATATTTTGTCATTTCATGCTATTAATCTAAACCTTATGTTTCCACTCGTTCAATAATTATAAATCCGTGTAAAAAAAATTACATTGTGCAATTTGATCTTATCCTAATAAAAATAGTTGTAACATTTAGTAAATAATTATTTTAGAGTTTGAATTTTAATACATTTTAGTCTCTGATGTTTATTTTAGAGAAAAATATATATGGTTAAATAAAATTATATTGATGGTCAATGTTATTTGTTAACATGACAATATTTACATGTTAAAAATAATGAGGTGGTGGATTCACATCCATGTTAGGATGGATGCGTGTCCACCCTAAAATTCAATTTTTCTTTAATTAGTTATTTGTTTTATTGATCATGTTCACCTTAAAATTTTGTTTGTACCACCCATATAAAATTTTTTATGGTTAATGTATATATGCTCGTCTTACAAAAATATTTTTAAATCCGTTAAACACGTGCCATATCATCACTCATTTACATGTGGTATATGTCACATTTACTTTAAGGGGGTGTTTGGTTCATGGAATGTAACATTACCTTCGGGAATAATATTTTCAGAATGTTACATTACCTTACACATTACTCGGAATGTTACATTATTGTGTTTGGTTTGTTGACAGGAATGTATGATTACAGTGTTTGGTTAAAGGAATAAAACGTTACTGAAATACATATTTTACTAAATTGTCCTTATGATATTTTTTAACAAGTTGAATTCCAAATATTCAAATGAAAATATTTATATAAAAATTCATAGAAAATATATTAATGTATTATTTTCAATTTATATATTTTTTATTAAATTTAAATTCATAAAATTTATATAATTTTTTTACAAAATTTAAAAGATAAATGGGTATATTAAAAGAGTAAATATAAATATAAAAATACTATAAATGGCGCACGTTAAGTTTTCTCTCTCGGAGCATGTTAGTTGGGGTAATAGCGATTGAAGACGAAGTCATTTCTTCCTCGATTCTTTGTTTATTTTTTGCTATTTATGGTAATTTTCTTGGGGGATTTACTGGGCTATGTCTGTAGAGGTACCTACTGATTGGAGGTAGCTATTTGCGGTGGGGAATGAGCAGAAGCTGGATTTCTTTCCCCCGATGGAGGTTGAGGGTTTTTTTGTTGTGAAACCTCTACGTCATGTGTTTGAGGAAGGGATCTTAGAATGGAGATATGCATTGGTTGGGCAGTTTGTTGGCTCTACTCCGAATTTTGGTTCTATGCATAAGATTGTTAAATTGGTGTGGGGTAAAGCTTCTCTGGTTAAGGTTAGTTTGGCTGGCTCAAATTTGTTTGTTTTTCATTTGTTAATTCTTCTGCTAGGGACTCGATTTTAGAGAATTGTCCTTGGCATGTTCAACATAAGCCAATTTTTCTTAGGAAGTGGGAACCAGATTTGAAAGAGTTGCATTTCGATTTGGTTTGAATGCCAGTTTAGATCCAACTGTATAATTTCCCTTTGGAGCTATTTTCAAATAAATAACTTAGTTGTATTGCTAGTGCAATAGGTAAGACTCTCCTCATAGATTCGATCACAGCTACTAGAGAAAGACTTGAATATACTCGAGTATGTATTGATATCTCAGCTAGTTCAAAGATTCCGGACCATGTTGATGTGCTGTTATGTGATGAGTCAGTGGTTAGGATTAAAGTTAGTGTACCTTGGATGCCTATATCTTGTGTTGAGTGTAGTCGATTTGGAAATTTGGGGAAATACTACACTTAGGGGGAAAAGGTAGAACAAATTTGGAGGGTAAAGGGGTTTATGCAAGAGGTTAAAATGGATGTTACTGTCATCAGTAATGAAGATGCTAATGATGGGATGGCCACTGGAAATGCCAATGATGAAAATAATTCTACTAAGTTTGCTGCTACAAGTTCTAATACAGTTATAGATGGGACTTGCCCTGGAAAAGATAAAGCTTACTCTGGTAAAGAGAATGTGAAGGAGACCAAACAACTTGTTCATGAAGCTATTGTATTAAATCCTGACCAGGGAAGTAATCCTCCTCTTAAGAGAGGAAGAGGCATACCAGCTAAAGAGGGGGTAAACATGTTATGGGAGGATCAAGAAATAAATATGAGATTATTAGCTCTATTGATCATGAAAGCTTGTTAGGTATGCCTTATGAGGATTCTGGTAGAAAGCATAAAGGTGCTTCTCTTGGAGTGGTAAAAATAGTACAAGACATGAAGCAAAAGAAGAATGAGCATGTTGAAAAAG